AATTACAACAATGCCTAACGTAGATCTCAGTGTATGTAAGGAATTATTTAAAACAATTATATAAGGATATGAGGGAGTATAAAGGGAAGTAAAAGAGTGTAAAGTTTATACACTTTACTCATGCTGGTAAAATGTTTACACAAGTATTGTCATAATATATATTATGTACACATTTAATGTAATACTTAGAACAACTACTAAAAAGTTCATACAAAGTGATACACTCATAGTCACTATAGCCAAATCAAAATGGAATTCTGGAAAGGGCTCAAGTAACTCATAGGAAGGCAGAAAGAAGAAAAATAAATAAATTAAAAACAGAAATCACAGAAAACAAACAACCAAAAAGCAGACCTAAGTATTAATGTATCAATAATTGTACTAAATATAAATGCTCTATATATGCTAAGTAAAAGACAGAGATAAGCAGAATAGTTTTTTTTAAAAAATGATCCAACTTTATATACTTCCTATAAGTCATTCACTTCAAATAGAATGATATAAATAGGCTGAAAGTCAAGGATGAAAATATACTATGCAAGCATTAAACAGGTGTGGTGTATCAATACTAGACAAAGTGGATGTCAGCAAGGAAAATTATGAGGGACAGAGAGGAATATTACATGTTAATCCACCAAGAAGTCATAGCAAACCTAATTGTCTAAGTATCAAACAACAGAGCTGCAAAATATGTGAAGCAAAAACTGACAGAACTGATAAGAAAAACAGACAAATGTACTGTTACAGCTGGATACTTTACTACTTCCCTGTCTTAAATTAATAGAACAAGAAGATAGTAAGAAATGGCACAGAACTCAACACTGTCAATCAACAGAATCAAATCACATTTATAGAAAACTCCACCTAACAAAACACATTATTTTCAAGTGCTATGGAACATAAACCAAGAGTAACCATATCCTGATGCACAAAACAAACCTCAAATGACTTAAAAGAATTGAAATCACACAGACTTTGTTATTGGTCACTGAAGCATCTCTAGGAAGTCTGCTTTAAAATTCTTGGTAGATAATTCTGACATCTGTGTCATCTCTGTTTGTGTCTTTTGATTGTCTTTTCAACTTGATATATACTTGGTTTGGGATATATTGGATATTATGTTATAAGATTCTAGATAATATTTAAATCTTGTGTTTTAGTTTTTTGACACTGCTCTGTTGGGTTAAGGTCACCGCCTCGTTACTGCTAGGTTGGGATGGAAGTCCGGATTTTCCACCTCATCTCTGTGGACACCTGGGAAAGGAGGGCTGCTGGACAGAGTTGGGAGTTCAGTTTCCCCTCTTTGCATCCTCTGATACCGCTGTGGCTGGGAGAGGGAGGGGCACATCATTGCTTCTCTCCACGAGGTCTCCAATGACATCATGTGGAGTGGCCTTCAGGCTTTTTATATCATGGTATAACTATAAAAGTTAAGAGTCTCTCACCATTTATTTTCCTATCAATGTTTACCTGTTAACAGAAATGGAAGTTTTACCATATGGTATTGTTCTATGATTTATTGGTTTAAAGGCCCAGAAAGATTTGCTTTGTAACATAGACATAGATGCCAAATTTAGACTGTTAAAATCATTGATCAAAATCTGCCTCCATGGTGCCGCTTCCTCCTCAGTGTATTAACATGCTCAGGTTTCTCCCATCTCAAAAGAAAACAAAACTCCCTAGAATTCACCTACTTCTCAAGTCCCTACCTCACTGAACTTCTTTAAAAAATAATTTATACAAATTGTGTCTATTATTTCCTCTTCAAGCTACTGTGTGTGGCCTCTCCTCACCCCACCCCCAAACCATCAGTGATGTCTTCTCAGTCCTTACCTGGCCTGACATTTCCTCAGCTTTGGAGGATATGTAACTACTTCGAACATGAAACTCTCTTCCTTTGCTCTCCACCGCCTCTCCTACCTTTCCTCCATTTCTGTCCCTGTTCCTTGTAAGTTCTTCCTTAGCTATAGAACTTTGTCACGTGTGTCTTCCACAAATTGTACCTCAGCTCATCTAGACCATCACCTGGTAGGTAGCTGGTCATAAACAAATTATTCTTCAACTAAATGGTCTATCCCTTAAGGTTAGTTATCCTCCGTGTTCCATTCTTGGCCCTCTTCTTTACTAATTTTATTTATTTTCCTTGATTGATTTTTATCCATTTCAGTGGCTTTAGTTATCTTGCGAATTGAGTTCCCCTATCCCCTTCATAAACCTTACAGAACCCTTTCTCGTTGATAGCACTTAACTTTATCAAGATTAAATAAAGTCTACACATACAAAAGTACTCAAACCAAGTTAAGAAAGAATAGAAAATCTCAGCTTCTCTGCTTGGCCATTCTATATGGAGTAAACATGACAGGCTTGAACTTAGAACAGCTTCATCAAAATGAATACCTATGCATAATGCAAATATATAAATTTGATACTTGAAAGTTTCTACTAAGTGGTTTTACTTACATTATTTGTCACAGAAATAAAAAATATTGTATATATATGTCATTGGGTTCACTTGTGACCTGTGAACTATGAGCGTCAATAATTGCTTTAATCCAAGAAATTACCTATTAAAAAGTATACAAACCATTGTTACCTTAATTAAACATCGTACAGGAGGTCTTAGCTACTTCTGTAGTAAAAGAAAAAATAATATCCGTAAAAAATAGGAGAGAAAACAAGCCCCATTTGTTACAAACGATGTCATTTTTCTGCAGAAAACACTGAAGAATCAACAGCTAAATACTTAGATTAAGAAATGTTCTTGAGTTACTGGGATTAAAATTCACATGCATTAATTAAAGTAATCCTGTTTCTTGTAAGACACATTTCAGTGGCTTAACAACAACAATTTATTTCCTATCCAAAAAAGAACCCAACAAACAAAAACCAGTGTTTGCATCTTTTTAAATTTACATTACTCATGCCTGTGAACCTTAGATAGTAAGCTCCATGAGAGTCAGAGCCACATCTTAGTCATTTACTGCTGGTGTTCCTAGTAGAATGATCTTTCTAAAATGTAAATCCATGGTGTAATGCCTCCCCAACTTAAGGTCCTTCTAAATACTCCTCATTACCTCTAGAATGAAAGCCGAGCCCCCTCTCATGGTGTGCAACTTTGCATGAACCAGCCCCCCTTACCACGTCAGCTTTGTCTGCCCGGTCTCTGCTCCTCCACATGTGTTTCTCCCAGGGGCCTGTGATAACTCTTTCTTCCGTGCCTCTGCACTTACAGTTTTTCTCCCTCGGAAATGTCTTTCTCACCTTCTTTGGTAATCATCTTTTAGTTTTTCTCTAACAGCTCGAGTACCATCAGAATGCCTTCCTGCATCCTCTCCCCTCTCTGCTCTCTCTGCTCTGTTCTCCTCACGCCTGAGAACAGTTCGGAGCTCTGTCCTTGCCCCTGCCTCCATAACACTCTTCGTACCTCTGCTAAGATGCTCATCTGCTACTTCTTTCTCTGCGCGCCAGCCTGTGAGCCGGCAAGAGCGGGGACCCTGTGACTCTCTTATCTTTAGGTGCCCAGTGCCTGAGCAGGTTTGACGCCCAGGAGATATTCGATAAAAGTTTACAGAAGAGGGAAGATCGGAGAGGAGGCAACTCAAGTGAGAACAATGAGACATTTACCTCAAGGAGCGGCAGTGGCTTTAGAACAGATGCGGCCGGTGAGGGAGGACTCCGAGTGTCTGGCTTGGGCAATACGGAGGCCACTCGTCTTCATGGCAAATCCAGAAAGAAGAGTTAGGGTGGGGGGATCAGAGTGATATTGCTTAAACTTTGTAGTCCCTTGGTAATTATGGCCACATTAAAGAACTGAAAAATAAAGATATTTTTAATGCCCAATAAAAAATCTATTTTAAAATTAAAATTAAGTTGTTTGTATAGACACACACACACATACATAATCATATACAGAATGAAAGTGTTGTGAAACGAGCATTGAGCATCCAGCCACATTCTCTCCTCTCTCTCGCTGACTAAATGGCTTGGAGGCCAAGGCAGTAATTCTGCTGTATGTTGTCCTATGGGGATCACAGAGCCTTGTCAGCACCAAGAATCCTAAACTTTGAGAGAACTTCTAAAAACCAAGAAGAGTCTACGATTGTAGGAGATAAATGTATCTTTCCATCTACAGTATCTAACTTCCTCTATCAGAGGGATTTAGTACATAGCAGAATGGATGAGGATTTAGAGCAGTTCCAAAGGATATGTAGGCTGTGTGGACTGAGTCTCCCCACCGATTCTGTGGTTCTCTGGGGCAGGCTGTGGAGAGACCTTACCTTGCTGTCACAGATTATGGACGCTCCAGCCCATCGACAGACTTGAGAAACAGACCAGGAGATGTACCCTGGTCTCATGGTGTGCTTGAGAAGATGCTGTGACCCTTTGCACAGCATTAAGTCATGTCTGTCTGTCTAGCGTAGGTCATGCTGGTCATCTGCTCTGTGGACCATCTCGTGTATTGTACATATTCCCTGGCCTTTCCCTTTAAATATTCCTTTCCAGCATTATGGAGTCAGTAAGAGAGGCTGGCTCAAGTCTCAGCCAACGTGTCTTTCTCTCACCTGATCCTGGCACTCCAGATAAACTACATTCCAGGGATAGCTCTTGTGTTCAACTGTTCTTTTATGCCTTAGGAATTACTAGAGACTGTTTCTCCTGTTCTTCCCCCCACCACCTTATTATGCATGTAAACCTCTTGATTAGTGGCAATTAAGGGATTTCCTTGGCTTTTATGTTAAATTTTTAGTAGAAAATAAATACTAAATTTCACTTATTTAGCATATACTAAATGCTAAAGTATGTATTATTTTTACCCTTCTCAACAACACAACTATAGACAGGTACAGTTTATCCCTATTTTGTAGAAGAAAAAAATGAGAATCAAAGACTAGAAGCTCCTTGCCTCAACTGTACCCCCAGTAAAGTGCTGGAGCAGCACTGGAGCCCACCTGTCTGGTTCTGAAGCCCTGCTCATCCTACTACCTGACATTACAGCGTTCCCCTGGGAAGATGGATGATTTACAGTTACTGGAAAAGGAGGAAAAAACATCCACAATTTTAAAATCAGAGTTTTACAAGTGACTTAAGAGGCATGCCTTGTGAGGTGAGGAGTGACTCTTGGGATGGCAGCTGTCTATAATTATCTGTGTACCCCACTCTAACTTGGGGTTATATATTCTTTTCCGCCCTAGGTCACATATTAACAACATTCTTAAGTAAAGATTTAGAATGTTGTGATGATTAATTTATTATATCAACTTCACTGGGCCACAGGGCTCCCAGACATTTGGCCAAATGTCATTCTGGGTGTTTCTATGAGGGTGTTTCTGGATGAGATTAACACTTGGATAGACGGACTGAGTAAAGCAGGTTTTCTTCCCTAGTGAAGGTGGGCCTCACCCAATCAGTTGAAGACCTGGATTAGGCCAAAACTGCTGAGTAAGAGAAAACTTGCCTGAGTGCTGCATTGAGACAGTCATTTCCTGCCTTTGGACTCAAACTGAAAAATCGGCTGTTCCCAGGTTTCCAGGCTGCCAGCTTTCAGACTTGAACTTATACCCTCTGCTGTCCTGGGTCTCCAACTTGCCAACCACAGATCTTGGGACCTCTGTAATTTTGTGAACCAAGTCCTTATTTTTTATAGACACACTGTAAAACTACATGTACCAGTGTGTGTGTGTGTGTGTACACAAAACCAGTAGACTTGTAACCTATTGGTTCATTGGTTCTGTTTCTCTAGGGAACTCTGACTGGTACAACTGTTTTTCTACCCTTCTTTTCTTTGGAACTTCCCCCAAACCTCTCATTATCTCTCTCCCTTCATGACGCCCACTCTCATTATGTCTCCCTCCTTACAACTTCTTTAGAATGCTGCTCACAGAATCCCTGCAGGGAGTTTATTTTTCCAGGAACACTGCCAGTCACATCCTATTACCCTCCCCCACTTGTGCACACTCTCTCTCCCTCCCATGCATGTGTGCACACACTGCCCTTCACGCAGTGGAACTTCCTGTGATGATGAAAATACTACAGATTTCTGCTGTGCAGTGTAATAGCCACTGGCCATATGTGATAGTGCAGTTCTCCAGAGAAACAGAACCGATTAGAAAGATGGACAGACAGGCAGATTGACAATAGGAAGCTGGCTTCTGTGATCATGGAGTCTGAGAAACCCTGAGATCTGCAGCCGGCATGCTGCCAGGAGAGCCAGCAAGAGAGCCAGTGGGACGGTGACAGCCCTGAGTCTCAGTACAAAAGCCGGAGAAGCCTGATGTTGCAACTCTAAGACAGTCCAACAGACAGAAAGAATACTTTCTTACTTGGCCTTGTGTTCCATTCCGGCTTTCAAAGGATTGGATGAGTCCCATTCACATGAGGGAGGGCACTCTGCTTTGCCGAGTCTACCACTTCAAATGTTAATCTCATCCACAGACACCCTCACAGACACCCCCAGAAATAGTGCTTAGCCACATATCTGGGCACTCCATGGCGCAGTCATGTTGACACATAAAAGTAATCATCACACTACATATGGCTACTGATTACTTAAAATATGGTTGTTAGAGCAACCAAAGAACTAAATTTTCAATTTAATTTAATCAGATAATTTAGATTTAAATAGTGATGCTTGTGATTACTGTATTGGACAACATAGCAGTAGATGGTCTCAGTCCTAGATTAGAGCTTTAATTGATGCTCTAGGACCATTCAGACTACTTCTCCATGTATAGCTTCCATGTGGGCTTGAAACACTCCCTCTGGGAGAACCAAGCCACCATGTAAGAAGTCCAACTACCCTGAGACTGCCATTCTGTGAGGAAGTGTAAGCTAGCCACGTGGAGAGGGTAAATTGAGAGAGACACACACAAAGACAGACAGAGACCCATCTGTTCTAGCCATCCCATGTGAAGCATCAGAAATGTGAAAAAAGGAACCATACCGGACCTGGAGCCCAGTCAGGCCTTCAGATGACTTCAGCCAGAACTGCCATCTGACTCTAAGTGTATAAAAGCCCCAAGCAAGAAGCTACAGCTCAACCCAGAGAACTACAAGAGATAATAAATTGTTGTCATAGGCTACTAAGTTTTCTGGTGATTTGCAAAGCAATAGATGACCAGAATAAAAACATACTAAAAGAACCAAGGTTCCCTATTTCTCTGGCTCCCCTGTTTCCCAGTCTTCTTTTCCTTTCTGTTTCCCACTTCCTTGCTTTTTGGTGGGGCAAAGTTGTATGCATAGAACTGAATTTGGGAAAGTCACAATGATCTGGCCCTTAACTATCTAGGATTTCTGATCTCATGTTTAAAAGGCCTTTTTAAGTAAAGTTATACTGTTTTCTGTCCTGCTTTCAAGTAGGCCAACTTGGCTTAAAAGAGAGAGAGAGAGAGAAAGGACTCAAATAAAATCACAAATGAGAGGGAAGAAATAACAACCAACACCACAGAAAAACAATCACAAGAGAATTTTAATAAACTATGCCAACAAACTGTACAACCTGGAAGAAATGGATAAATTCCTAGAAACATATAAATTACCAAAACTGAAACAGGAAGAAATAGGAAACTTGAACAGACCAAAGCAAAGAAATTGAGTCAGTAATCAAAAAACTCCCAACAAACAAAAGTCCAGGACAAGATGGCTTCACAGAGGAATTCTACCAAACATTTAAAGAAGAGTTAATGCCTGTCTTATCAAACTATTCCAAAAAATAGAAAAGGAAGGAAAACTTCCAAATTCATTCTATGAGGCCAGCATTACCCTCATACCAAAACAGGATAAAGAGTCCACTAAAAAAAGGAACTTCAGGTCAATATCCCTGATGAAAATAGATGCAAAAATCTCGATAAAATACCACCAGCCAAATTCAACAATACATTAGAAAAATCATTCACCATGATCAAGAGGGATTTATTCCTGAGTTGTCAGGATGGTTCAGTATTTGCAAATCAATCAACGTGACACGTCACATCAATAAGAGAAAAGATAAGAACCATATGATCATCTCACTAGATGCAGAAAAAAAGCATTTGACAAAGTTCAACATCCAGTCATGATAAAAACCCTCAACAAAATAGGTTTTGAGGGAACATACCTCCATACAATAAAGGTTGTATATGAAAAATTCACAGCTAATATCATCCTAAATGGGGACAAATAGAGAACTTTCTAAGGTCAGGGACAAAATAAGGAGGTCCAGTCTTACCACTTTGATTCAACATAGTACTGGAAGTCCTAGCCACAACAATCAGACAAGAAAAAGAAATAAAAGGCATCCAAATAGGCCAACTTGGACCAATGCTTGCCTTTCCTTCCTTACTAAAGGCCATAACTAGTTAATACAGTCTAACACTCTGGTCCTTTTCAGTCATTTATCTCTGAAAAGTTGAGCCCCAGAAGGCATATATCTGTGCTTCAAGATCAATATTTTAACATCTTCTTTGCTGCTAGAAGAAAATGGATGGGAGGGGACAGGGATGTGTTGGGTATATGGCCATGTGATAACTACTGGGTAACTAATACCTCTTACATGTAGCAAGACTAGTCATGTAGTGAGAGCCTATGTGAGCTACACATACAACTTAAAAATTGTGCTATTTGACACAATTATATAGCCTTGAACTTTACCCTGCTATTTGATAATACTTTTTATTCCAGGAATCTCAATATTAATAAAAATTCCAAAGAAATTTATTATTAAATGTCATGAAAACAAATGTTTAGAACAAGGTTGACTATGCTATAGTTGTTCTCAGTGTAAATGACTCTAAACAGACTTTGGATCTGAAATATCATCAGGACTCACCACAGCAGTGATTTTTCTTTTCCATTCCAGTTCTAAGAACAAAGGAAATTGGCTATGGATAATTCATATCATTTCAATCAACGAAACTCATGTAACGGACTTCCATCTGAGAAGAAAAACAACTTCCTTGTATCCGAAGATCATGGACAGAAAATCTTAAGTGTACTGCAGAATTTTAGAGAGCAAAATGTCTTTTATGATTTCGAAATAATCATGAAAGATGAAATAATCCCATGTCATCGCTGTGTCTTAGCAGCGTGCAGTGACTTTTTCAGGTATTTCACCTTGTCTGTCTGTGCCTCAGATTCTGTGTTATTATGTTTCATAACTACTGAATTTCTCCCATAGGAGCATGCAACAGTAATTTTTAATTCTTAAAAACTAATTAGAACCTAGATTAACTAGTGACTTTTGAATATGAAGATTTATGACTACCTTCTTTAAAGTTCAGGTCCTCCCAGGTCAGCATTTCCTAAAGTTATATGGAACATTGGTCCCTTGAAATGTTCTGGGGGGAAAAAAAATGTTTCGATCTAGAGTCAGTTTTGTTTGGGAGAGTTCTTGCACTGCACTGTTTAGAAAAAAAAAGGGGAGGACAAATGGATTAAAAAATGGAAATATAGTTCAAAGGAAAGGAAAATGGAATTCAGTCATGTATCTGTGGGTCATACAAGGGAGAGGGACTCACACAGAGGATTTCAAGATTTCTCCTCTCTTTGACAGAGATATTCTTCTAGGGGAAAGGTACCTCCAGAAGCATTTCTGGAGAACACCCAACTTGTTCTGATTCTAGGCAACCTTCTGAATATAACTTGGTTCCCCTGGTAGGTCATCCTACAGGAAATGTCCTAGTCATAACACTGTTAGAACCCCCTGTGGCGACAGTGGGTTTCTGATTCTGCAAGGGTAAGTGTCAGACATTTGACCTTAGTACTGCGGTAACTGCATCAAGGTCATACCATCCTGTGAGGCCTCTTGGTCAGACCCACAAACCTCTCTTGGTGACATCCTGGACTTCAGCCCTCCCAGTCACACTGCAATAAATTTAATCCTAATTGCAGTATTTGCATTATGTTCAGTTTTAGAAACAGTTTTTATTTTAAATAAGGACTTAAATCTCTAGTAATTAAAATTTATAAAAACAGAGTAAGATTTAAGATATAAATACACTAGATGCAAGTTAACTTACACTGATTTTAATCCTTAATTAGACTCCTATTTTGCCACCAGCATCTGATTAGACCTCACCCCTGTTGCTCTGGAGTGAATCCGCAGGAGTGTATTGATATTCACTACTTGCTAAACTCCCGTTCCTGGGGGGTTTCCTGCTTGTGTGAGGAGCAGTGGCTCAGTGCCGCGTCCCACCCTACGAGGGACATGGAGGATACACCTTCGCCCTACCCAGACACTAGTTCTTTCTCTGTTCTTGTCATGTCTTCTCTCAGGTAACCTAAGCTATTCTTCAAACTCCACTGGGGCCCCCACTGTCCCTGTGCTCTGCCACTCTATGGTTCCACCAGTTTCTCCCCAGCTCTGTTCTACTCCAGGTTTTCTTCCTAGTAGCTCCATTCTGCTCCCCTACCCTCTGTCACCTCTTCCTGACAGGAAGCTGGATGCTGTAACGGTTAAGTACCTGGCCTCTGAATACACAGGCCCTAAATCTAAATCCTGGTTCTGCCACTTAATCAGATGTGACTTTAAGCAAGTGACTTAATTTCTTCAGGCCTCAGGTTCCTTATTTGTAAAAATTAAGACAATAAATGAGAACCCTAACTTACAGAGTCATTATGAGGGTTAAATGAAGTAATGTATATGTACTGATTAGGACCTTGTCCGCTACATTCAACTAACACTAGATGCTAAGATTCCTGTTATTTCCAAACCTAGCAAAAAATGGACATAATCTGGTGCAAACGCACAGGTTGATTTCCCTATCATGTTAACAAAATAAGAAGTTCATGTAAGCATTTGGATTGGCAGTCCTCTACTCTTCATGTAGAAGTTATTTCTTAATTAAATGTTTCTGCACATAACTTCTGTCCACAATATTTTGTTCAGCCTACTCCTAACTTTTATGGACCTGCTTTAAATTTTTTAAAAATCCTGTTAAAAAAACAGAACAATATGTTTTTAAAATTTTTTTCCCTGCTTTGAAGTAACACAAATGGCAGTCTTATAATGACCTAGATCCTTTATTATATATAGTATTTTACTAAAGGAATACACAGTTCATATAAAAATATATACAAGTAAAGACTGAAATTCTGTAATTTACACTCTTAGGTGATGAGGCCACCAATTCATAGTATTTGTGTTATCAAAATCACTGGAGTACTGGCAGGAAAAATATAAAATAGCAGGAAAGTGTACAATGCATGAGAAGTGCACTTTATAATGATTTTGGAAAAGGAAAGTTATAAATGAGATGTAAAGTCATGGAGAGAAGATTGAAGAGGAATCACACATCTTGTACAACCACTTTATGATAATATGGTAAATTTGAGATGGATGTTAACTGGATACTTTAAAGATGAACAGGATGAAGTATAGAAATATGATCCTACTTGTGTCTTCTCAAAGAAAATGTGGAAGCTGGTGATAAATTAAAGATATATAGGATCTGTCAGAAAACATTTTCTTAAAATAATGATAGTAGCTAATACTTTGTACTGATCAACTCATTTATGCCTCTGTAAACTCAGTGAAATAGATACTACAAGTATCCCCATTTTCAGATGAAGAATTTGAAGCACAGTGAAGTCCCCTGCAAGGTCACACAGCTAATAAGTAACAATGGCCAGATACCCACCCAGGCAGCCAGATTCTAGAAGTCAGGCTCTTAATATGACCCTAAATTGATGACCCATGTCTTCATAATCCAATATAATTATCATCAGAGTTTCATATTGCTAAGTTAACATTATTTAAATACCCTACATGATGTAGAACATGTATGTAATCTGTGTAACTGTATTCATTTGTGGATTAAGAAGAACCCAGTAGCCTAGTGGGAAGGCGCTTTGTCATCCTTCCTTGTCCTGAGGGGTGTTCCGGGTTTGGAGGGCCCCTCGTACTTCTCATTCGGATACTAGTGCTTCCTGAATAGCTTTGGTTTCCCTCTAGAACAGACTTGAAGAACTAAACTGGTTCCCCCCAGAGGACTTGAGCACCTCGGGGCACTGCTCACAAAGGTACCCTGGACGATACTGGTACAGGCGCAAACCAGTATTAAGCCAGAACCCACACCAGTCACTCCAGTCCTACCGAAGGTGCAACTACTGGTGGCCCTTCGTTCTTTCTTGTAGCTCTTTCTCTTTAATCTCAGCCTCCACTCGCTGTACCACTGACAACCACCATAGCAAGTCTGTGTAAAAGTGAATCATTCTGGATGTGAAGTCAACAGAAGGATGGGTGCCAAGATTGGTCTACCAAAACCAATAGTAAAATAAGTCTTAGTCTCCTGCCCAATCATTTGCAAATAATTTATGTTTTCACTTAAATTGAACCCCAAAAGTTCCCACTTCCTTAGACTCTATCCCCCCCGGCCAGGTGGTGATGAATTACAGCTCAGAAGAACTCAGACTGGTCTAACTCAAATCTAGGGACCACCTCCATCTCTCAGTGGCTGTTTCTTCAAAAACTTACTTTTAGCCTTTTGGGTTGGCGTTTAGCTCCATGAAATCACATTCCCCTTTTTTCCTAAAGTGCTGCATGAAGTATGTCTCTTTCGACGTGTATTTAAATATATCTCGTTTGGTGGATTTCCCACACAGACTCCTTGGAGACATCTGATACCTCACAGCATGCCACCTTCCACATGTTTCACAGCTGCCAAACTGAAGATTACTGTGCAAGATACTTTTACATCCTAAACCCAGAAGCATTATATATTTTAAGTACTTCTAGTTATCACCTACAGAGTTGATACTAATTAACTCATAAAAAAAGGAAATTCAGCCATTAGAGAGATTTTACCCTAATTTTATGAATGATATTTAAAAGCATGAAATTAGTTTACAAAATGTGAATCATCTTATAGCCTTCTTTGGATGAGGGGCAGTACCTCAGCTGTAGTGTATGTATTTTGCAGTATGGGAGTTATGTGGCACATATGTCTTAAAGATAAACAGTGTGGTACACAACTATTCTAGATATTAAAACAACTGATTAAGATGCTTTTAAAATGTTTCATAAATATAGACTTGACATGTGTGAAATATATTTTAAATCAGCCTAAGGGTCAAGGAAGCGTCTAGAAGGTAACGTTGAAAACTAGCAGGGAATGACCTCTTCCCACTTGTTCTTCTGTGTTCTCTACTGTTGCAGGGCTATGTTTGAAGTAAACATGAGAGAGAGAGACGGCGGGAGCGTCACCATCACTAATCTGTCCTCCAAAGCCGTGAAGGCCTTCCTTGACTACGCCTATACCGGGAAAACACAGATAACAGACGATAATGTGGAAATGTTCTTCCAGTTGTCCTCATTTCTTCAAGTCTCCTTCCTAGCCAAAGCTTGCAGTGACTTTTTAATAAAAAGTATTAACCTTGTCAACTGTCTGCAGTTACTATCTATATCAGACAGCTACGGCTCCCCCCGCTTGTTCAATCACGCACTGTACTTTGTACAGAACCACTTTTCCTTGCTATTTAAGTCCAGTGATTTCTTAGAGATGAATTTTGGAGTCCTGCAAAAATGTCTGGAGTCAGATGAGTTAAATGTCCCCGAAGAAGAAACTGTCCTGAAAGTTGTCCTTAGTTGGACCAAACATAACTTAGAATCGAGGCAAAAGCATCTGCCTTATTTGATTAAAAAAGTACGATTACATCAGTTATCTGAGGAGACCCTTCAAGACTGTCTGCTCAACGAAGAGTGTTTACTCAAAAGCACAAACTGCTTTGACATGATCACGGATGCCGTTAAGTGTGTGCAAGGTTCTGGTGGACTCTTCCCTGATGCTCGGCCATCCACCACTGAAAAATATATATTTGTTCACAAAACTGAGGAAAATGGAGGCGACCAATATACATTTTGCTATAATATCAATAGTGACTCGTGGAAAGTGCTGCCACAGTCACATCTGATCGATTTGCCAGGGTCTAGTCTGTCTAGTTACGGAGAGAAAATATTCCTGACAGGAGGCTGCAAAGGGCCATGCTGCAGAACCGTCCGGCTTCATATCGCAGAGTCCTATCACGATGCGACCGATCAGACCTGGTGCTACTGTCCGGTGAAAAACGATTTCTTCCTGGTATCAACTATGAAGACACCAAGAACCATGCACACGTCAGTTTTGGCTCTCAACAGATTATTTGTCATTGGTGGGAAGACCAGAGGGTCTCAGGACATTAAAAGTCTCTTAGATGTTGAGTCTTACAACCCTCTTTCCAAAGAATGGCTATCTGTTAGCCCGTTACCCCGGGGCATATACTATCCCGAAGCAAGCGCATGCCAGAATGTAATCTATGTTCTTGGATCAGAGGTAGAGATTACAGATGCCTTTAACCCATCACTCGACTGCTTTTTTAAATACAACGCAACCACTGACCAGTGGTCGGAACTGGTAGCAGAGTTCGGGCAGTTTTTTCATGCAACCCTGATTAAAGCTGTCCCGGTAAACTGCACGCTGTATATATGTGACCTTTCCACCTACAAGGTGTATAGTTTTTGTCCAGATACTTGCGTCTGGAAGGGGGAAGGCTCTTTTGAATGTGCAGGCTTTAACGCAGGCGCAGTTGGGATTGAAGATAAAATTTATATCTTAGGTGGTGATTACGCACCAGATGAAATCACAGATGAAGTGCAGGTCTACCACAGCAGTAGATCTGAGTGGGAAGAAGTCTCACCGATGCCAAGAGCCTTAACTGAATTTTACTGCCAAGTGATTCAGTTCAATAAATACAGAGACCCGTGGTTTTCTAATCATTTCTGAAAGGAGCATGTGCCTAGACAGTCTAAAATGATTCCAGTTCTAGAAATCTACTGTAAATCTGTTAACCTGTAGTTGGTAACAAGGTCTTTACCTCTTAGTAAAGTAAAATGTACCGTCTGTTAGAGAATCACTATAGGACTTAGCAGTTGCCAGAAACTTAAAATACAAAGTACATTTACCAGACATTATACTGAATATAATTTAATCACGGAGAATCCAGAATACTTAGTATTCTCATATGTAAGTAAAACTCGTAGGCATCGATGTCTTGATTTTTAGAGTACTTTATCCATGAAAGACCAGGAAGAACAAATCAGTGTTCACAGATCTGTACTATCTAGACGGGAAAAATCTCTTTAGGTAGTGGAAATGGATTATTTGCACACTATGTTAGGTGAAGTGAAAATTAAATTAGAGAGACCTAAGAAGCCTGCCCCATTACTACAGGAGTAAGAGGGGCTGAATTCCTATCCTTTCCAATCATGGCTTAGCTTCTTTTAAGCCCTTCCTTTTTTTCCCTACCATTTGTTGTTTTTGTTTTGTTTTGTTTTGTTTTGTTTTCATCAGGTCAACTTTTCTAAAATGCAGTGTATTTCCCCCTGGCTTCTAAGCTATACACTAAACATAGCTTGACTTTTTTTTTATGATTTAACTCTTCATTAAGAGCATAATGTTCCATGATATAATGCCATAATGCCAATGGCAATTACTGAAATGCTTTTAAAATTGCTGATTCTATTAGTTCTAAGTGTTAGTTGGTTTCAATTTCTAGCAATATCATATCTTTCTTATTTTGTGGCTCAGGCTCAGTAAATTAACATTCTTCATTTAATTATTAGTTATAAGTTACACCCAATCTGAGTCTATCTTAACATGTAACCCATCGAGTGAAGTTCCTGGATTCTGAGATGGTAGTCCTCAAATACTTTTTCTGTATCCTTGCCAGTTTCCAGGATTACTGAGGATGTAGGAAATCTGACCTCTAGATAAGTGTATTCTTATGTTGCATTTCTTAAATTTTTAAATGTCCTAATTTGAGTTGTAATAAGAAATTTCAACATTTTAAATTAGTACCATATCAGTTTTCTTTGATGATACATACCAACTATAAAGCACCGTGTTGGTTTACTACTTACGTAAGTTATTCATAGTGAATTGTTTTCTAAATTCTTTTAAAAATGACTAGGTTTTTGGTGTTGGTCTTATTCACAGCCTGCTGTATCTGTTTAGATGCTTAGTCATCTTTAACCCAAACAAAGAAGGAGTATCAGTCAGTCATCGCTTGTTCTCAGGTAGGATGATTCTGTGTTGCAAGAGAGTATGTTTCTTTCATAAGTTTAAAAGATATAACCATATTAGGCTGTAAAAGTAGAAATATACCTAAATAAAGGTCCATTTATTATACCATATAAGTTTATGCAATTGTAAGCTTCAGATATATTTTTTTCAAAATAGAACAGGACATTAGACTACATGATCATGCAATTCCAAAATCGGACTGTCCCTAATCAGATGACAGTTGCATAAAAAGTATTCTGTAGAACTGTTGGCCTTCCTCCCTAAGTTGGCGCTGCCCTTTCCTGTGTGTGTGTGTGTGTGTGTGTGTGTGTGTGTGTGTGCAAGAAAAAAATTCAGTGAAGACATTTGTGTGCATATTTGTGGACTTGGAAACTATTTAAGAAAGACCATAACACAGTGGGTGACCCATCTGTGGATTTACTGAACTGTTAATTTAAACATATATAAATAATTAAAGTATGTTTAAAATAAATATTGTTTTAATTACTGACTCTAGGAATTGTTAATCTCTTCCAGAAAGGAGAAACTAAGGTGAAACAGAATCCCTTCCTGATCTTGTTTCATTATTAGATTAGCTTGACGTCTGCCCATCTTCTCATTGGCCGTTGATTCCTGGTCATGTTTCTAGAAACAAGGCCTAGGTCGTTCCCTCTGCATATGATCACGTGTACCTTCTAACACACAAGGCTTGCTGCCTTTCTTCTACAGTTGCTGCAGTTTACTTGTCAATCATTTTTTTCTCATTGCCACCCCTTTCCATCTGCAGTGGAGTGCTCTGTGTCGGCCAGGAAAGTACTCCGTCCAGTCGTCACACCTAAATTCTTCCTTTGTTTACTCTTCTTTGTCCTTGCCACCAGAGCAGTGCTGTCCTGGGCTTGGCTCCAGTAATAACGGATCTTGTTCTCTCTAATTTTGCATCTTATAACAGTGTCACTTAACATTTACATTATCTGTCTGCCGTATTGACAAAGGGTTGTCTGTGTTCCACACCCTCGAGGAACCCAGCCACATGCACGCGTGGCCAGTGACTGGACTGGTTCTATCTTTCTCATCCTGCCCATCGATCCCTGGCTTCACTGTACAAGAACCATGCCTGTCATTCTGGCCTCACCCTCCGTTCTGGATCTCTGACAGGCAAGTCTCCGATCTCTCAAGCTTATTCTCACAACCCCCAGAAAGAGCTGTGTTCCTGTCTGCAAAGTTAGGTCAGAGGAAGTAACACATCCCTTCGTCTATGGCCTCTTCCCTGAGTCTTTTTTCTTTTTCCTCTAAAGTCTGCTTCCCCTTCATGATCCTCCTTCAGCCAGCGTTGCACTGTAAGACAAAATCACTGTGCTCATTACCCAGATTGCTTTCATTCTTGTGGAAAAATTCTGTTAAACATTCCTAAGTCCTTTATCATTTGGATTATGCACATAAAAAAAAATTCTGGTATTGTAACACCTTCTAAAATTGAAAGTAGCTATATGGCATTATTATATATAAAGATGATTAAATTCAACATTTATATGAGATCAATTCAAAGTTAATGGACACTCCTGGAGTGATCTACAAACTTGATTTAAAATGTGGAGCACCTTTTGTTCATCTATTGGTTGTCAGACTGAGCAGTATGAAGAATATTAGCATAATCGAAATTCACTACCCTCCCAGAACACTTAACTCCAGTTCTGGGTGGGAAAGGAGTCTTTATCACGGCAGGATTCAATCATGCTACCCTGGAAAGCGAGAGTGTGACTTGAGAGTGACCACATCCCGCAACATGATTCCATTTTTCCCACGTATCAAGAGCAACTGGATATGTGCACAGTGTGCATGGCTCAAGGGGCACCATTTAGAAAATCAGACTCAAGTACAGAGAGACACATGTACTGACATTCCGAGATAGGGAAGCAGTAAATACAGTGTAATGATTAGGTATATTGTGGACTATGTACGGGTACTTTTAGGTCTTCATTCTCAGTTTAATTGGATCCCGTGTTTGGAAGGTCTTTTATATTGAGAATTGAAAATGTAAGACTCAAAAATGCCTTCCGGTGGGCCGCCCTGGAGGGCAACCTAAAAAGAAAGGCTGGAATGTATAGGGAAGTCAATTTCCATTCAACGTAAGAAATCACTTGACTCCACTTTCCAAAGCCATATTCAGAATAAGACGAGTCTTCAGACATGCCCTGTGGCAGTTGGTTGGCCCAATAAGTTCCTACACAGCAGTAGACAACCAAAGATTTCTACACGCTCTTTACACATTTCCATCTCACTAGTTTTCTGACATACGGATGATGACTTCCTCCTCCGATTTATTTAGCATTTTAGGTTCTAAGGAACTTGATTTCAGTGGCTCTGCATACTCAAGGTTTCAACAGAACTACACCCGTTCAGGAGCAGTCTTACTGAAGAGAATTTGTTCTTTTTTTTTAATCACTCAGGAAATATCTGTAAATGGTGCTGACATTTCTAGTGCACTGCTAATAGGGAGTTTCCCCCCTCTACTGTAGGTGCACATTGTTTCACAGAGAATAGAAACTGAAAGACCAGCACCTAAAATTTTCTCCTGAATTCGTTCCTATTTTGCTGCAAATGTTGCTGTCTAGTTAAATGTAGTGATTCTAGTTAAAGATTATATGATTTAAAAGAACATATCTTAAAAACCTAGGTGTGTTTATAAATCAATTCTGTTTGATGGCACTATGATGCTTAATCAAATTTAATATCTAGTTAGGGAATATCATGTGTATAAAAACTCTTCTAAATCCCAGATTCCTATTCAAACTTGAAAATAGCCTTAGAATCTAACACAGCTTCTAACATGCTAGAGAGAAACCCCTCTAAATGCCAAAACACCCTGACAGATGATTCACCCTGACAGATGATTTTTTTTTTCAACTTCTAATTCAGTTCTTTCAGGAAGAGAGCTCAATGCCTTCATTTTTGAAAAGTTCTATTACTGCTCACACTGAAAGCTTCGCGGCCTCCCAGCATAACTTCCAGCCACTGGTCCTAGGGAGCTGTGTCCACCAGTATTTGAAACAGTAGCGTGTCTCCCCTCTAAAACCGAGGCGTCATTTTCCTTCTTGTTGAAATGCTTAGCACTTTAAAACCTGCCACAACAGCTGGGGTTACATGCCTTTCCTTGTACAGGTGCCTCAGAAAATCCATCGTAATTCTCTCGCCTTTTTGGTGGGTTGAGCAATGACGAGCATTGCAGAATCTCTCAATAATTCAGGCATTTTAGTCCCTGGACCAGCTCTCTAGTTCTTATAAATCCATTCTGAGCCAGATAGAGCCTTGCTGGGTTCTCCTTTTAACCACCCTCCTCACCACCACCACCACCATCAACATAACTACAAACACAAATTTTCTGGGAGAGGAATTCTAAAGCTAAATTTTAATAAGTCTTTCAATCATTTGTCATTAGATCGGGTTTTCAGACTCTTAAAAGCACTTCTGATAAATACCTTAAAAAGTATACAAAAAGGGGCGCCTGGGGGGCTCAGTCGTTAAGCGTCTGCCTTCGGCTCAGGTCATGATCCCAGGGTCCTGGGATCGAGCCCCACATTGGGCTCCCTGCTCCGGGGAAGCCTGCTTCTCCCTCTCCCTCTCCCCCTGCTTGTGTTCCCTCTCTCGCTGTGTCTCTCTCTGTCAAATAAATAAATAAAATCTTTAAAATATATATATACAAAAAAATAGACACCAAAGCAGTCACATCCTTGATGGTTAATGGGAGGACGATTAGCTTACTAATCAATAAAGACTAGCTTTGTGTGGACCTTCACCTATGCTGTTAGTCTGATTGGATACAGCAGGCTATTCCCATGAAACAATGCCATTGTTAAATAATGCTATGAGCCAGGAGCTTTATTCATCCCATCAACTTTCACAACATTCCCTACCATAGCTATCTAACGAGCTCACCAAATTATGCTTTTGGTTCTGAGGGTAACAAGGTTGCTGGGATAATTCAGAGTACAGTTCCCTGAGTATCACATTATGGTGTAAATATTTCTTTACATGTCTGTCTTCCTCGTTTAATTGGAAGCTCTTAGGAATAGGGACACTATATTCATCATGTCTGGACCTAGCAATTAGCACAGTGCTTTCATATAATAAGACATCCAGTAAACTGATATTCTGTTGAGCCAATATGTGAAACAAAATAGATTTGTTACAATTATATTGTTATGGAATAGGTCCATTATAACTGTACATCTTGCAACTTATTTTCATGTATAAAGGAAATGGTTTTGATCTACTTTAGGATTTTACATCTTAGAATGCTATCACATTGTACTTTAGTTATTTATGAATGTATGTGTTCTTTTTGTAATATTTGAGATCTTTCTCATGTTTAAAGTCTGAGGAAATTGGGATAGGTAATTTACACAACTGTAGCTTTTGTTAGTATATGGAAAAGTTAATAACGAAGCGTTTGTTGACCACGAGATTGCGTTACACGGTGCACTGCCCACCTCGGGAGAACGTGTATAGTTGCATAATGTATGTATAGTTCTTGAAAGTAAAATTATAGATTCAAAGGCATTTATCCACCTGATTTTTTTAGTGCTTAGGGACTATTTGTTGTCACTGAATTTTAATTATAATATCTAATTCTGTGTTTCCTTTCAAAAGCGATCATATATAAGACAATGACTGCAAATTCCCTTAGCGAACATGCAACCTACTTTCATCCCCCATTAAAACCTAATAGTCTCAGCGACATTTTCCGCACTTGGGGAGCTAGTGCTCCAAGCTACCAGACATTGCGTACACAAATAATCTTCTTCATTTCCCTATTAGTGGAATGTGGGCTTTTGCCATATGCTTTGAGAAATAAAATCAGCATTTTTGCAGGTCCATGTGAACCATATTAACATGTAGTGAAACATTTCAATTCTGTAAAATAATAATTTATTAAAATGTATCTCAGAAAAACACATTCTGTGTGTATTTATTGTTATTGGAGATAAAAGCGGTAGACACAGGTGGGTGCTGAGATTCTCATTTTCTTGCCACCTCCCTCCCCCAGATGCCCTGAGTGCTCTGATGAGTCTTAGGATTCCAGAGTGTGGTGGAGGAAGTTTGGGGGGAGGGTCCGAAGGGGCCTCTGTAGCTTGAGAACGGGTCCTGCGTGCACTTCAAGGCAGACACCCCCATCTGAGAGAACACAACACCCCTTAGACTTCAGAGGAGTCACAGGTGTGTGAGAGATCCCCCCAGGCCCTAAGGGAGCTAAGAAAGAGCAGACCAAAGGCCCATGAGCTACAAATGACAGCTGCAGAAGCAAGCTGGATATGCAGGGCCACACACCTGGCCACCCCTGCCTCCCTGGACACGAGGCACACATGCCCCAGCCAGCTTCTGGACAACAAGCCTCCCCGCTAAGCTCATAAGCCCAGATGCCTGGGGGAAGCTAGTGACGGGGTCCGAAGCATGAGAAGCTGCGTGGTACCATGGAAAGACTGTTCACCTGTTTAT